TCCCCCACCTCATCCAGGGCAAAATTCAATGTTCCATTAAAAGGATTGAGGCATACGTGGAACTCAAACACGCAAGTTGCACACATCATCATATCCAACGTGTCTATCTCTCTCTCTCTCTCTCTTCGAAGATCCTACTCCTGTCTTGCCTGCATTGTTCTCACAAAAAGTCAGCAAATGTACGAAGCAAATATCTGCAACGTCACCACGATCTACATACATATGGGCAATTTACAATATTTCACTAATCTGAATTAAGGCCTCACATGCGGATGATTTCCCTTAGAAACCATGATTCCAGGCTTCGGGAGAACAAATTTCGGTCGATATACCCAGATATATGATTGTTATATATATATATAAGTATATGTATGTCATTATGTGATCATATACAGTTACTATTAGTGACTCATTTTTGGTACTCGCTGCACCTGGCACCAACTTCGGCAGCTATCTGCCAAGCCAGCACTTTTTCGGGGTCCAGAGCGGCCGAGCCGTTCCTGTGATGGAACAAACAACCCATGGAATCTGGAAAAACCATTGAAATACCATTGAAAAACCATTGAAATACCATTGAAATACCATTGAAAGAGCTGAAGAAGGCCTTTCTTTTTTTGTGGGTCACAGCACAGTCCGACAGTTGAGCTCCCCAACCAGAAGTCCCAGGTGAATACGCAAGGCATCTGCTGCCATCAGTTCTGCCTACCAGGAATCTATCAGGGATGAATCTATCTCAACCATTTTAGATAAATACAGTAACCATTGTTAACCATTCCTATAATATGGTTAACCATTATTAAATTGGCTAACAATGGCTTGTAATTAATGGCTAGAAATTGTTAACCATTAGCCATTAGTAACAACAAAAGTAACCATTGTTAGCCATTGTTAACCATTAATAGGAGTCTACCAAACCCAATATGAGCATCAAATAAAAAGATCCGAATCACAGGGTCCGTGTGTTCATGAAGTTCCAAGTTGGATCCAAGTTGGGTCCAAGGCTCCAAACATTCCAAACCGCCCAATTCATGGGGAATGAAAGCCTGCATCAATCATCCGGAGGCGCCTGCAACTGAGGGCTGCTGCTAATCCCTTCCAACCTAGGATCAAAGGTCAGCTGGCACCCAGGGAATTCCTGGGTCCAGGCCTGCTGTGTTTCAGCATTTCTGTCAAACTCACAAATTCGACGTCAGCTGTTGATCACACTATGTTTTCCTCGGATCCCAAAAAGCAGTCCCTTCCAAACGGCCCCTGGAATGAATTCAATTCCCAATGAGATCACCGATCTTCCAGCCTCAGCAACTCTGCACGGCCGCTCACCAGGCCAGAAAGCAACAGGGCCAAGTCCAGCAATGCCTGCCGCGGTCTCTGATATCCAATATATGATCATCTATATTAGATCATCTATGGCAGAATGACCCCGTTCCATCTATATCCCTCTCATGAAATATTCTTGAAATGATGACAATGACATTGACAATGACTTTGACAATGACTCAAAGCTTAAGCAACGCATCGACCATCATCGACCACTCTGGAGCACGAAAAAAACAAAAAATCCGCCTGTTGCTGCGACGCCTTTGGTTCCATGGCTGCCTGGAATGACCGAAGGCAGTGGCAAAAAGATCTCTGATTCCGCATTCAAAAGGTACAGTGATATACAGTGATGGTATTCTGATTGAATTCTGAAGTTCTGAAGTTCTTGCTGATTCGGATTCGCTGCCGTCGCGGCCGGGCTGGAACGCTGGGACGCTGGGACGCTGGATTTTTCACAAACGGATGGGAGATGGATGGGGACCTGAACATAGGACGAAGGCCCTGGGATTTCTGCCACAAGTGGAGCCAGCAGGATGCCGGATGAAGGGGAAGCATGAAAAAACTACAAGTACCGGGCTGTCCCAAGCAATTCTGTTCTTCCCGTCTAGAACATGGTAAGCACAGAGCGCAAAGCAAACTCAACCTGCAAAACTGTCGTTTTCGTCAAGGGCATTTGATGCTGCAGGCAAAAGTTGATGATTTGCTAGATCAGGCTGGTTTGCCATGTTGCCCGGTTGCCGTGATTAATGCTGTGGGAGCTCCAATGTTTGATTGGAATACGAAGGTGCTGTTTTGCAGAAGCACTACTATAGAGAAAACAAAGAATTTCATTGCAATACTTTGAGGGGCCGACTTCTCCACAGTGGCTGCCAGTAAAACCAATGGCTCGTGGATTGCTTACATACACTGTAAACGCCTATGGTTACACGTTACAGAAAAATGAGCACCATGCTTGGAGAGACGTCATGCGTTCTTCCAGTGTTTGATGGTAGATGCAAACGGTGAGGACCGACTGGAATGCTCAATGCTATACTGTGATGATTGATGGAAAATCGTTTAGAAATTGGTGCAATACTGCAGCACAAAAGTTGGTTTTGGGCTATCTAATGCCACACAGCAAATTTTAAGCTTGTATCAAATTCTGCTCTTTGAAATTTGAAATTATATGTTTATGGTGGAGTTGAAGGGTTTTGAAATTATATGTTTATGGATTTGAAGGGTCGGTAGCTGGAGGAAAGACAGGGAATAACCAAAAAGTGACTTTCCTTGTTAGCAAGTGGCCTACAGTCCCAAAACGTCGAAAGAAAATGCAAGAAGTAAAAGAAATGTAAAAAGAGGGGTCAAGACATGTCTGAAAAAGTAACAAAATGGTGAAGAAAACGAAGAGAAAAGACGACTGAAGAAAGGTAGCGAAATGGTAGAAGAAAGAGGCGATAGTCAAAGAATTTTGTGCGGATAGATTGAACAATGTGACACAAATGAAAAAGGAACATGAATACAGGTGAAAAGGTTTTTGAAGAACATCTGTGTCAGAAACTTGTTCCCCCGGTTGTTTTTTTTGTCACTGTTTTTTCAGGTATTAATTCTCCAACATAGGCACCAAAAACTACCCGGATCAAATCCATGGGTGCGGTAATTGATGGTGCTTTCCCTGCTTCTCCTTCATGATCTCTTGCAGTGAGTGGTCTGAAGGTTGTTCTTATTCGCTACCATTCCTCGCGCCCATTAGTGTAATGAGTGTCGAACGGATTCAAAGCACCCAGCTTCCCCAAGATCGAACAAACGGGCGCTGCCTTGACTTTGTATTCTCCGAGTCTGTATTCATAAAGGATAGCACTTAAGATTCAGAATATGATCCTTGTAGATAAAAAAAGCCCGAAACATGTCATCAACATTCACCAGCATAATTAACTAAACATTCCAGCATGCTCAAAACCCCCAGCAGCTAGGAACCTGCTCCAACCATGCCAACAAGGCTTTGACAGAGGCCAAGCCTGACAAGGAAAGTGTTTGTTCTCTTGTTCTCTGGTTGTGTTCACGCAGTACTTCACCGGGAACTTCGGATCGTACGAAGCACTGCTCCCTACTTCTGTGCGTCCTTTCATGCAGCGGAGCTATGCAGCCTCCGGCCGCACCTTGGGGTCTTTCCTCCAGATTGCCTCCACTTTCCATCTCTTCGTCGCTGTCGCTGTCACTATCTGGCCAGGAGCTTGGCATCTCAGCGTCATAACGCTTTCATTGTAGCCATGTAGCCGGCAATGACAAAGCTTACAACAAAGCTTACGCGACTCTTAGCATTTCCAAGGTTTTGCTTATGTTCGAGCTTTCCTTAGCTTTGCATAGCTTTGTAGCTTTGCTGGATATTTGGCATACCATTCGCTTACAGCTAACATCAGATTCTCATCACAGCACGGCGGAAGTTGTGGTAGCGCTCGCGCCGAGCCTGATCGATGGCCTGGGCCCACCGGTTACGAAATGCTACGACTGGCCAAACAAGGATCCAGCTATAGCAGGCAATCATCTTCGTACATCAAAATTGGCACTATAGCAGTGTCATACCATGTACATCAATCAGGATTGATGAAGGTCGGAGCACTGTTCCAAATCTTGGCCGTACATTGCTTCGATAAAAAAAAAGTCGGACCTTCGACGTAACAGCTATTAGAATCTATTAAACAGAAATGTCCGGTCCTCCCAGGACAACATCTAATCAACACATGGTTTCCCACATCTCATCATCTAACGATCATCGAACCCCCAAGCGGTGGCCGGTGCCCTGGCCGGTGCCTAGATCAGATACCAGCAAAGCAAAGAGCGAGCCAAGTGAGTCCAGCTGCCACCTCCGCTCATGGCAATGCCACGGGGAAACAACGTGATTCACAACGTGAATTGCAACGTCCGTTAGAAGACGTTGCAATTCATGAATCGTATGCCTTCATGTATGCCAATGATTGCCAATGCCTAATTCATATCAGTTTATATATATATATATATATCATTTATATATCTATGTATATATTTATCATAATTTATCATAATTAATCGGTGTTTTCCCCTGTGTTTGTCCAGGGACCCTTGAAAAAAAGGATCCTGCGTTCCTGCACTCAACGGACTCCATCTGAACGTCTTCCAACTGCACATGTCATCCATTTGCGTAGTAACTTCGTATCGTATGTAGCAGCTAGGTGGTTAATGGTGGTTAATATTCATATATATATATACATTTGTGTTAATATTCATGTCCATTTGGATATCCACATCTTTGACCCAATAAAATGGCCTTAGCACAGCACTGCGGCTGTCATTGGTGTCTTTGGCTGCTACCAGAGCAGTGCCCCACGCAAATTTCACGTGAACGAAGCCCTGCTCATCCTGACACAATGCAACACACTGATCCAGTTAAGAACGGGATTCCCCTATTGGATTATTGTAATTCCCAATTAATATTGGGTAGTATCATCCCCTATAATCATCAACCAACCAGGGCTTTGAACACTGCTCAAATGTGTTGAAGTCGTGTTAGTCAAATGGACACAAAATGCTTTATCAATCGGATGGCTTGCAGTGATCTTTTGGAATTTCATGCCTTTTTGTATAGCTTCTGACAGGTTCCCATGGATCCATGGAAGGCAAACCAGCAAACCAGGAGAGCCTCCTGCGATTCTCGAACGCCAACACCTCAGGCAGGATCCACTAAGGAAATCAAAGGAATGTCTAAAAACCACTTACGCGAACTCAAGACCGAGCTCCTACGTCCAATTCAGACTTCCTTATGTCTCCCATCTGCAGGTGTTGTTACTCCAAATACTCCAAGCACATCGTGTGAAACTCACCATACTGGCTTACGATTGAGTTCAGTGCCGTAGGGTGTCAGCACTGCACCAGGCACCTTCCCACGTTCACCGTTCACCGAAGCAGAAACATTTCTTCAGTGCGCCTCGCAGGTTAGTGCTTCCAGAATCTCTGGCTTTAGGGCCGAGCCTGCACAGGGTGCCACAAAACCCCTGGAAATCCTAATTGATGCAGACATATGCAGACATAGCTAGGCCCGGCTATAGATAGTAACATGCGGCAATGCAATTCGAGGAGTGGAAAGCGTGCACTCTGCATTGGAACCCCGAAGAAGGTCTCTCCACTTCTTCAAATAGACACATTTTGATTGTCCAAAGGTATCAACGCTGTCCCACTTTGCAGCCACTTTGCAGTTGGACGACTGTGGACTTCTCATCCTCGTAATGCTCCTACTGTTCAAACCACGGCAACCAACCTGTGTTTTCGCTCTGCGGACCCCTGAAGTCAGCGACATGGGTCGGAGCAGGGTTTCCGGATGGCACCATTTGCTGAAATAGAGGAAGTGAACAAAAGATGAAGCGTGAAAGGTTTCAAATCAAGCTTCACATCTCACCACAATCTTAATTCAAAGTATATATGTTTACTTTCTCCATTTTTATCTACATTGAAATGAACGAATTGGAAGATATTCCTAGGGATCTTGTGCTGCCCATGGATAGACTGCTGCCCAGGAGCTCCACATGGAGCCGACCTCACTGGAGATCATGGTGAGTCTCGTGTCAATCGAAGAAGGTCAATCACAAGATATCATATCTATCATATGCATCATATATCGGGATATACACACATCATATATATATATATATACAACATATATATATATACATATATATGAGTGTGAATATATGATGTATATATATATGTATATATATTATGTATGATATAAACACAACATGTTTATGCACGTGTATGCATATGCATATCATATGCAAATAGATATGTATATATGATTATTGTATAATACCCAAATTCTCAAGATAATATCTTTTGTGACGCCTCCACTAGCTGGACACAGTACGAACAGGACTGCCCAGTCTTCTCAGGACAACACTTTGCTTCGACCTGCATCAAGTTGGTCAAACCATAGGACCTGTAGTAACACAACCTGAATAGCAAGCATTCCCTGTCCAGCACTTCGACAAAAAAGTCCGTCCGAAGATGTTGGGTACATAACCTTGTTCTGGTTTCCCGTGCCCCGGGTGCAGCCTGCAACGATCACCGTGGGATCTAGGTCCCAAAAATGCAGCCTCATCGGTACAATCAGCAAGCATCGCATGCTCTTCACCCAATTCCAAGTATCAACTGGGAAAATTAGCACTGTCAGACTGGCACCTTGCTAGCAACTCACGTTTCATCTAATCTGAAACTCGTCAGATCCAGCGCAGGAACCTAGGTTTCCTGCTAACTTTGGTGGGACTGCGGGACCATTGCCGCCGTACCTCCAGAATTTGGTCATAGCAAGTTTGATCCGGTGGAACCTCTTTGGATCGACCGCCCTTTCTGCTGAGTTCTGCGTAGTTTCGAAACTCGAAAAACAAAACACTGATAAATTTTGCCCTGGTCTAAAGGAAACCCAAATAATCCAAGGCCAGTACACTTCACGTTGATCTGAACCAAGAAATATTCCCACAAGGTTTCCGCACGAATGTCTGGGAATCAGCGAGCCACTAAACGCCGAACACGCGAACACGGGCACTTCTCAAAGATCTGCTGCAGCCTAAGAGCACCTGAGGAGAGGAAATTCCATGGCCGGTGTCGTATGCCCTAGTGGGCTACAGGAAACTGTCCGAGATTTCAATCAGCGAAAGGCGAAAGCATGCACGGGGAATCTCATTTGTGCAGTTTCACAAACACATGAACTACAAGATCGCTGTAAGGACTTCCATATCAAGGGTTTTCTTCCAGCCACCAATCAAACACCATAGCTCCCATCATTCCCAAGGCAGCAGTATAGTAACACAATGTAAAGTAGGAAACTCGATACCTATCCGACCTATCCCCACAATCCTACCTCCGCTCCCTTTGGTAGGGCCTTTGGTAGCCTCATGGCAAAGCTGCAAAAGTGGCTGGGGACTCTGCTACAAACCCACCAGACCATGCTGTGAATCTCTGCTACCATGATACATGCATACAAGTGCGGGTGTGTGTGTGTGTGAACCATCTGAATACAGTAGATGTAAAACTTCTACTTGGTTTTTCAGCAGGGGGTGTCGGGGGCACTGATGAGACCGGCACTGACAAACACACTCATCTGTTGCCTGTGATATCGATGGGGGCGCTTATCGACGTACCTGCATTTTTCACTGCAATGGCAACCGGCTAAGCCAAGAACCGGCATGTCAAACAACTGGTTTCTGTTTTTCCTGTTTCGCTGCACTGTTGTCGCAATCTGTCAACTAATTTCTTCTAGCACTGGACATGGCGATGATACCTTTTCGATGTTTCTCGGGTCATTTCACCGACCCATTCCTGTCAGGTGTAATTGGAGTGTTTCTTGCACGTAAGATGCATTCCACATCAGAATTCGCAAAGATTGTTCTGAGCAAGTGTGGGTGTGTGGGTGTGTGGGTGTGTGCGGCATACATGTAGATACATCTATATATATATACATATATTCATGTACGTATGTATGTAAACATATGTGCAGTGTGTAGATATAATATATGAGGCATGCATCATGCGTGTCACATAATGCGGCATATACTTAATCAATGCACTACTAAATATTATACAGAGATGCACGTGTATGCAAATATGTTTGTACATGATGCTTATATTGATGTGTAATATTTCTGTATACATACATTACATTAGATTACATTACATTACCTTACCTTACCTTACATATTACATTACATACATACATTACATTACATTGCAGTGCATTACATTACATTACATTGCATTACATACATTACATCACATCACATGTCATTACATTACATAACATTGCATAACATTACATAACATTAGATAACATTACATAACATAATATTACGGCCAGACGCCTTGTGTTGCCCGGAGATTTACAGGGACGTTCCTGGCATGTTGATGATGATGATGATGATGATGATGATTGAAGATCTTCAATGGATGTAAGAGGTTAACGGAGTTGGGAGAATCAAACCCTTATTGAAGATCTTCAATGACTGTAAGAGTTTAACGGGGGTGCGAGAATTAAACCCTTATTGAAGATCTTCAATGAATGTAGAAGTTTAACGGGGGTGGGAGAATTAAACCCTTATTGAAGATCTTCAATGAATGTAGAAGTTTACTGGGGGTGGGAGAATTAAACCCTTATTGAAGATCTTCAATGAATGTAGAAGTTTAACGGGGTGGGAGAATTAAACCCTTATTGAAGATCTTCAATGAATGTAGAAGTTTACTGGGGGTGGGAGAATTAAACCCTTATTGAAGATCTTCAATGAATGTAAGAGTTTAACGGGGGTGGGAGAATTAAACCCTTATTGAAGATCTTCAATGAATGTAAGAGTTTAACGGGGGTGGGAGAATTAAACCCTTATTGAAGATCTTCAATGAATGTAAGAGTTTAACAGGGATGGGAGAATTAAACCCTTATTGAAGATCTTCAATGAGTGTAAGAGTTTAACGGGGGTGGGAGAATTAAACCCTTATTGAAGATCTTCAATGAATGTAAGAGTTTAACGGGGGTGGGAGAATTAAACCCTTATTGAAGATCTTCAATGAATGTAAGAGTTTAACGGGGGTGGGAGAATTAAACCCTTATTCAAGATCTTCAATGGATGTAGAAGTTGAATGGGGGTGGGAGAATTAAACCCTTGTTGAAGATCTTCAATGAATGTAGAAGTTTAATGGGGCTGGGAGAATTAAACCCTTATTGAAGATCTTCAGTGAATGTAAGAGTTCAACGGGGGTGGGAGAATTAAACCCTTATTGAAGATCTTCAATGAATGGAAGAGTTTAACGGGGGTGGGAGAATTAAACCCTTTTTGAAGATCTTCAATGAATGGAAGAGTTCAACGGGGGTTGGAGAATTAAACCCTTATTGAAGATCTTCAATGAATGGAAGAGTTTAACGGGGGTGGGAGAATTAAACCCTTATTGAAGAATCTTCAATGAATGTAGAAGTTTAACGGGGGTGGGAGAATTTATATGAGATGTATAGAGTGAACAAAAAATCCTTGTAATTTACGCTATTCTGGGCTTGGGCAACACACGGTGTCTGTGGGTAATATTACATTCGTTACACAACATTACATAATATTACATACATACATACATACCTACCTACCTACCTACGTGCGTGCGTACGTACGTACGTACGTATGTACGTACAAACTACATACAAAAATACATTAATTACATACATACATACACTAATTACATACATACATTAATTACATACATTAATTACATACATACATTGATTACATACATTAATTACATACAATAGTTACATACATACATGAATTACATACATACATTAATTACATACATACATGAGTTACATATATACATTAATTTCATACATACATTAATTACATACATACATTAATTACATACATACATTAATTACATACATACATTAATTACATACATACATTAATTACATACATACATTAATTACATGCATATATTAATTACATACATACATTAATTACATGCATATATTAATTACATACATTAATTACATACATACATTAATTACATACATACATTAATTACATACATACATTAATTACATACATACATTAATTACATACATACATTACATTACATTACATTACATTACATTACATGCATACATACGTTGCATGCATGCATACATGCATACATGCATACATCCATA